AACTATATAAATGTCATTCCATTAGCTGCAGTATTTCCCGTAGCCGATGCTTAAAGCACCATAAATCGTTAACAAAATTTTTTTCTCGAAGCCTCCCAAGGCCAACTCATCGGATGTCCAAATCTTCCAGTCTTCTGCGCTATATAATAGGATGGATATGATGAGGGACTTGTACAGTTTGATTTTCGTTTGTCGAGAAGGGAGTTTACTTTTCAATTGCCTACTCAGTCCAAAGTCTCATATGTGGGCAAGAGTTATTCCGCTGTGGATTGCTAAATTACTATCGCAAATTACCCCGTTCACACGGCACTCAATTGACAGTTCTCCATTTCGCTGGTCTGCTTTTTTTGTTTCATTTGAACGTGATAGTTTTTAGTAAAAGTTTTTGAAATATGACTTGAAAACTCAAGATAAAAATTTTTGATTATGGAAAAAAGTTAATGAATAGGAAATTATTTATTTTTATTTAAAACAATGCAGTGAATCAAATTACGAAGAAAAATGTGAGCAACGTAATTGGGGTTTGGGTGGAAATGCCGTATAAGACACGTCGTGGTTCCCATATAGATAAACTCCTGTATGATATTAAAACTTAGATAGTAATGTAGTTTACAAATTTTAATGAGATTTATTCATATTCATATATATGTATGCAGCTTTTTAAAGGAAGATAATAATATAATTGTGGGCTTTAAGTTTTTGTATAAACTTTTCAGTAACTTCTAATAATTCCCCGAAAACTTCTATAAACGACCACTTAAGACTAGTAAAAGCTTATAAAATTATGAACAATAAACGTGTTGATTTGAATACGTTTTCGTTAGCCAGCGCCAGCAAAGTTATGCATTTACGCTCCTTGCATACACGTACACAAAAGTAGTTTAGCCACTTCCAAATAAATATCAAAATGATGGAATATTTTATTTAAACTTTTTTCTTTGATTTAAATATAAAATTTGAAATTTATAAAATTTATCTTTACGATGCAGCCTTGGTTTTTAACCCACAAACCACACCATATGTAGTACGCGCAGCTAACCACTTTGCTAATGCGGTCGTATAAAATGTTACGCCATAATTGTAGCACTTGAGTAATGGAGGTTAATGAGTTTGCCCTCTTTCGGCATTTCAAATTATGTGCACACCACAAATCTGTACATACATACATACATACATACATACAAACGTACATTGGGATGCTTAAATCAGTTGTGGTTCAGTAGTTTCGGTATATAGTATACTCGTACATGCACTTATGTATGTATAAATTACATTATGCTAAGTTTGTCAATGTGTCCTTTAGACACATAACTATGATTTTTTTAATTTAGCGGTAAAAGATGTTTCAGTTGCATTCCATTTGTAACATTAAACGAATTAATTTTTTTGGCATATATATATATATATATATGTATTATATGTAGACGAGTACATTATATTATGTTAAGTTTGTAAACTAAAGGATACATTATGAAAATTAGATTTCAAGAAATTTTTCATTGAATTTAGCGGCAAAAGTTCTTTTAGTTACAAATATAGTACCATAAAAGTAATTAAATTTTTTCCTTTCTTGTGGTCTTAATCATGAAAATGACAGTTTTTTGCTTTTCATTATTAACACATTATTGAGCACTTAATATGAACATTTCCTTTACCTCGCCCTTCAGTCAAAAAGCTTTGTCTTTTTCGATACTTGTTCGTAAACTATAAAACAGTGGCGCTAATTTGTTACATATTGTATATACATTAGCACATATATATGTATGTACATACGAGTATGTATATGTTAATGTTAATAACTTTGACCACTGAAGCGTTTTTTAAACGTTGTTATAATTCTATTGATTTTAAATATTAAGAATAAAGAACCCACTTATGTGATTACCATGTATACAAATATACATTTGTATGTATATTCCCCTTTATAAATCGGTTATTAACCAACCTAAGCGTACAAGTGTGTACCAGTAAGTACATAAATATGTATGTATATATGTATATACAAGATTTCAGACTTGTATTTTTGCTAAGCTCCTGTTTTCACCATTGAGATGCTTAAGTCAGTTGTAGTTCAGTGAAATTCTATTTCCATCTTATACATATATATGTAAATATGTTTAATACTTTCTCATTGAAGAATAAATTATACAGTTTTAGTTACACAGCAGGAGAAAATACTAGTTCTTAACAACACTAACTAGTTAATATTCCATCTTTTTCCCATATTATGAAAGTAACTGGTATTTCGAGCTGGTGATGCCCTAGTAGTTAAATACTAGTTAATTTAGACATTTTAAATTTATACTTTACCAAAAATAAAAGTAAAAGTAAACTTGCTTGCAACGAAGGAGTTGCGGATTACAGCATACTTCAACAGAGCCATAACAGAAAATGTAATATAACCGTGCTGGAAATTAACATAACATAGCAGTAGCCGGGTGGTTACTGGTGAAATCCTAGATATTTACCATCAAATAACGATTTTGTATTATTTCATCCTCAAAATATTAATATTTAATTTGTTTTTTTTTTTTTTGCATTCTAGTTTGACTTTCCACAACCGGGTGTCTTCTGTTGCTTTTTATTAATATTCGTTACTCGTCTGAATGTATTGTACATAGATACAAATAATTATTATATGTAAACCTCCCTGTTGATTATTAATTATTTAAAACTAGATTTTGTCAGCCTGATAAAGACGCTGGAATTTGATATTGCATTTAGAAAAGTTTTAATTTGTTTTATAAGATATTTAATTTATAATAATACATAAATTATTATACAAGGTTTTTAAAAATATTTCTAGGTTACCCATTCATTTAAAGAAAACAAACGCAGAAAACTCAATTATAATGACGAACATTTATTATCATTCAAAAGTACATTCTTTGGCATTCATTTTTTGAAGATTGTCTGCCTCAAAGGTTTCAGATGAGCTATCCATTGCATCCAATTTTCGATGACTTGTTCGAACATCTCGACTGGTAACTAGCGAGTGACACGCGTGATTTTTTCTCCAAAGCCTGAATCGGAGTGGGATTGTACGCATAGTGTTTAGACTTTACAAATCTCAACAGGAAAAAGTCTACCTTTTGTGTCACACTTGACTGAAAACATCTTCCAGTTCACTGGAAAGAAATATGTGCTAGTTTGTCATGTTGAAAAAAATTTGAAACACGAGTCTTTACACTATAATTCGATTCGAAGGTAAAATTTTCAAAAATTATTGGAGCCTAGTACGGAACACTGTTCCTCAAAAGCCAAATGCAAAACAAAAATTCAAAATTTAAACAAAAATTTCAACAATGGGGCTGCCAAACGCAGAAATTTTTATATTGTTCAACGCCTTTTGCTGTAAAAAAAAGTTTCAATTTCGCCACAAGATCACACTGAAACTCATAATTTCTGCAAGTGCTGTACTCTACTGGCATTTGTTTCTCTTGAAAATGCTGTCAAGGGTTTTGGTATTGTCAGAAAAGATTTTTGTTAAATTATTGATTTAACTTTCAGAACATTCTAGAAAAATTTCTTGTCACGTCCGACTATTCTTAAAATATTTTACTTTTCTCATGCAATTCGGAATCAATTAAACCCTGTGTCTGACAAAACATTTACATTGCTCGGGCTGTGTTACTAATATTTTAATGTTTATTAAAACAAAAAAAAAAAAACAAAAAAAAAATATTTAGAAAACTGTCTTTTCATAACGGGTGATCCAAATAGAAGTACTTTTTTCAATAGCCTTTATTTGACAGATCACGCATAAGTGGTGTCAAGTTGTCATGTTGTACTTGTTTAGTACTGTTTGACATTTCATCATGGAAAGAACAACGTTTAGGAATCGTTCAACTTTATTATGAAATTTCGCGATTTGTAAAGAATATGTTTCACGCCCTTCGCTCAATTTATGATCAATATAATCGGCCACTAAGGGTACTATTCGCCACATTATCACCCATCTTGAGATCCAGCATTCTTTATTGGATAATATTCGACCGAATAGACCACATCCAGCGGTGAATAAAATATAGCGGTCGAAGCTGAGTGTGTACCCGCAGACCGTGAAGTGTCAATTCGGCGCTGTTCGCAGTAACGTATGGAATCACTTAGCGCATTGTACGTCAAGATCTTAAATTGAAAGCGTGCAAGAACTAAAGCCGATCTACCTTCCTATGTGACATCGCATCGCTCTATGGGCTCTTTAAAAGTTTCACGAAGATCTGACGTTTTCGAGCCGAATTTTATTCAGTGATGATGCCCATTTCTGGATCAATGGGTTTGTAAACAAGCAAAAATTTCCGCTGTTGATGCGAGCAGTAACCTGGAGAGATTCAAGAACTGTCATTTCATCCAGAAAAAAAAAACGTTTTGTTGTGGTTTGTGGGCCAGTGGAATCATTGGTCCATATTTTTTTCAAAAATTATGCCGATGAGAACGTAACCACTCAATGGAGACCGTTATCGCGTCATGATAACCGAGCAGTTCATGCCTGAAATTGTAGCCTGTGATCTCGGCGATATTTGGTTTCAACAAGACGGCGCAACTTCCCACACATCATATCAGTCATTGGCTTTATTGAGAGTAAACCTCGGTGAGCAGATAAATTCACGTTTTGGGCCGGTCGATGGGCAATCAAGATCGTGTGATATCACATCTTTAGAATTTTTCTTGCGGGTTTATGTAAAATCTAAAGTCAATACCGCTTCGATTCCCGCCTTGGAGCAAAACATCCCGCGTGTCATTCGCCAGTTACCAGTTGATATGCTCGAGCAAGATATCGAAAATTGGAATTAACGGACGAACCATGTGATGCGTCTACGTCCAACATTCGAAAAAAGTAGGGAATCTTAAAATGCTTCACCCTTCTTATGAATGTGTAAATAAATATATATTTCCTTTTAAAATATTTCTATAAATAAGAACATACACGTACATATGTATACCTTATACCATTGATATTTTCATTCTAAATAATTATTCACTATATTTACATTTTCTAGAATGCGATCTTTCATCGAAGAAAACGAGAAGAATGATCCTCTAATCAACGCTCCAGATAAAAAGAACAATCCGTGGGCTGAGAAAGGAAAATGCGTTCTCATGTAATATTATCGCCAACCACAAAAGTATCATACCAAATTCCATAAATATCCCATTTATTACTATAATCATCATAATAATGCCAATATCGAGGAAAATGTAAAAGTTATATCCAATAAAATTAATATTGCAAATAATGATGACATGCAACAACAACAATATTCAACTATTACTAACATTAACTACAATAGTGAACATCAAAAATCAGACAATTTTAATATGATGCGCTTCCATGGTATTCCCCTAAATCCAGAAAGTATTCAACAGCATCTTGATCAAGTTAATTTAGAACGTGTCGCCTACTATGCGGAAACGGAGGAAGATAATCGAATTTTAAATATGAATGATGTAATGTCATACTATGATTGCAATTATTACAATGACAAGAAAGATTACTTATACCATTGCTATACTTTAAATAACAACCAGCACGTTAACGATGAATCCCATTTCACGGTTCAAGTACTAATACGTCACTTGAAACGACGTACTCTGCAAAAGATCTCACAACGTCCAATGCTTTTACATATTTTTTCACTCTTCATGTGGTTCCATGGCAAATTTTGGAAATTCTACTATGAGACACTGATACGAAGATTACAGTAAACAGTAATAGAATACTGTTAAAGTAACAGTATGCTGTTAAAGCAAGAGAATAATGTTAAAGCAACAGACTATTGTTTTGTTATGCAACAGAATATTGATAAAGCGAGAGACTACATTCAATGTAACAGTATACTGTTAAAGCAACAGAATACTGTACTGTTAATGCAATGAGCTGTGAAATTGATATTTAAATACGTTAATGCTCATCAACACCATATCTTTTACACATTTTCTACATATAAATTGGCGCGTTCGTTTCATACATATGCATACAGGTATAAAAAAATCTAAAATGGAAAAATTTCACTTTTCGTTTACATTGACCATTTACAGCGCGTTACCAACCAAACCGATTGGCGGAAAGTTATGCCTGGATAATTTACTTACTTACAAGTTGTGAAAGTTTGTATCACTTATAAGGGACTGTGTAAGCAAGCAAGTGCGTTTATTGTAAAATGTCAAAGGTTTAATCCGTTCATATACTCATATTAAAAATATTTAACACAATAAAAAAAGTAAATTATTCCTGTGTGCAATTTCATATACTAAACGTATATTGTAACATATTTATAGACATGACAGTCATTACTCGTATTAATAAGCAATTTTCCGAACCATACAGAAAGAATACTGCAAATTTTTTTTGTTATCTTTACTATTAATTATTATTTAGCAATTAATAAATTTTTATTTTTAGCTTATTTGTTTAAAAATATATATCTTAGTTTGCAGCTTTAATTATTTATTTTTTTTTATTTATTATTTTGTTTGCTTTTTTTGTTAAAATGTTTTTAATTTTTGAACGCCTTCACCACCTATATATATACCAATATGTGTGAAACCCACGTTTTATGAAACTCGTCGCATAATTCCATAAAAAACATTAAAAATCGCATATACCAACAAACCACCAAAAATTACATAGTAATTTAGTGTACTAGCTACTGCAGGTAAAAGTATAAAACCGTCTCCCGGGACCCACCCTATTGTCAAGTGAAAGTGAAATACGATATAACGAAATAATTAAATTGAATTAAAAAAATCAACAAATGAATACATCAATCAATTAAGGTTAGTTTGATAGATATTAAATGAATTTGATTCTTTAAAACAGCATGCACAATCGACAACTTTTGTATGTATGTTAGTTTCGCAAAGTACAGTTGAATAATTATTAACAAAAAAAAAAACAAAAAACAAAAAAACCTTGCCCTCTATCAGCTCTCTTGCAATAGATATTTTATGTGATCACTTTTCGAAATGTATGAAATTAGATGAAAAATAAAAACCGAAAGCAAATAACACGTGTTCACTCAATAAAAGAAAAATAAAAAAATTAGAAGGCTAAAAAATAACTATTACCTATCATTATATCTTTCGAAAGATGTTATATAAAACAGCAAAACTTTTGTGGATGAAATCCTTCAAATTTTAAACGTAAAACTGCGATAAATAAATATATAGTAAATTAAATTAGGCCACGTAATAACTCACCTCGATTTACTTATCATGTGCCTATCAGTAAATATAAAAATAAAAAAAGTATGAAATTTAAATATTAAACTAAAGTTATGAACAGCCACTCAAAATTTATAATAATATTAAACCATATTGATATTGTTTGTTTTTGTTTTTTTTTTTCGTAAAATTACTCCATACACTATATAATTTTTTTTTTGTATTGAGCATATGAGTATTTTTAACTCAACTTATAATAAAGCATTTATTTGTAATTCATAAAATATTAAAAAGTTATTGAATTATTGAAAAAACTTGATATTAAGAAATGTGACTTTCTTTATAGCAAAAAAAACTATTTAAATATTCTACTTTATACTATTAATGTTGTTTTAATGTTATAAACTTTTATTAACAAACAATTATGTACCCACTTTAATAAATTTTAACCAAAGCAGATGACAACATTTCAGTAGAAAACTCTTAGATTGCACATAAATACAACATTTTAAGCAAAAACGATTTAGTGAAAAACAAATTTAGAAGCGATAAAAGCAAAAAAGTGGAGAAAACCATAATTTTTCTAAGTATGTATGTAACTATAACGTTTAAACGCTATACAAAATACCAATAAAAATAGTCACGAAATAAAGTGTGATAATGAAAATAATGAAAAAGCAGTTGTCCTTCTGGTACATGAAATTTGTTAACTTAATGCATACATATATGTATGTACATACGTATATAACGTTGGATATATACATATTAGTTTTCGTTATTAAATAAAATATTAAGTTTACTCGATGAAACACCAATCAAATTTTTTTACACTTAAATACATGAATAAGCTCACATGCCATGTGAACTCAAAATTCTTAAAATAACAGTACGTAAAGTACATCCATCATTGAATACAGTACATCTAACACAGAATTATACGTAAATACATGAAAAAAAAAATGTAGCAAACTTTTAGCAGTCTCTCATCCGTAAAGTTGTTTTACGAAAACAGTATTGAGTTCAACAAAAAAAAAAATATATATATATACTTCAGCGAAAAAAACCCAAACTAAACAAATACAACTGCAATTTCAAACACAATTCTCTACAGTTAGTTAACTGTGCTGTTTGTTGGAGAAAGGCAAATATAACATTAATGTCTGTACCAAAAAAAACTTAAACACATTTATTACTACAAAAAAAAAAAAAACCATACGAAGGAAGAGTCGTCATTTTAAGTCAACATAGCAACATAAGCCAAAAAGAAAAAAGTTAAAAAGTAATACGATTGAATTTAACAGTAGTGAAAACTTGACGTGCAAAAGAGCAGCACAAAAGTCATGCGTATTTGAGTTCTTTAAATATAAAACGTAATTAAAGTACTATTTTGTAGGCAACACTTGCTAGGAAAATTATAACCAAAAATAAGAAAAAAAAAAAAAATTATACTGAATATGTGTAATGAAATATTTAGCAGAAGCACTTACATACATACATACATAACAGATGTAGTAGCAGTTATAAAGCAACACAATTACAATTCATTTAAAAAGTTGGAACTAAACACACATACATATAACAAAGCTGTTGGAGCTCGTTTTCCGCAAATCTGAAGTGCAGTTTTTAACAGTGTCAAAGTTCGAAGCACATACAGAAACGTAGAGATTTGCAAACAGAAAATGGCATGGGAAAAAGCTCCAAGATGCTGATAGAAGCAGAGTTGACGTTAAAGAAATGTATAAGTAAATTTAAGTTAGAAACTACAAACATATATTGGAAATATTTCAAATAATACTAATAAAGTACGTTTAATTTATATGTAATAAGCAAAAATATATGATATATACATATACTTAATTAGTAATGCAATAAATATTTAAAAGTTGAACCATACACAATTAAAAAAAAAAAAGAGAACAAAAAATAGGGTAAAAGAAGCTAGTGAAATTTTCGTGGTGTAATATTGAAGTATAACTCAGATAAAAAATATTACATTAATATACAACATACACGTACATATAAAAACGCCAAGAAACCACTTAACAGCCTAAGATTTTAACAACATACAACATAAAATATGATGAAAAGGTTTATTTATAAGTTCAATGAACAGTTAATATTTATGGCAAAATCGAAGGCAAGCGACTAAGTTAGATGTGGAAAGAAAAGCAAAAAATTTCATTTTATTAATTTAAAAAAAAAAAGCATTGAAAAACACAAACTGCCAAAGAACTAAGACGAAAGAAAACAAATTTCGTTGTCCAAAGAAGGTAAAAAAAATTGTAGGCCTGAAATCCCTTCGATTGAAGAAGAGCCTTAAGCATAAGGCTAAACGATATCTTCGCTTATTAATTTTATTTACTAACTGCGTTATCCATTGAAAGCTTAAATTAATATTTAACATATAGAAATATCCTTTAATAAATTATCCACATTCTTAAAAGCTCATTAGCACTGCTTGCTCACTCTTTTATATTTACATATACATACATACGAGTATGTCTTGCTGTGATTGTTTGTCATTTTACAACAAATTCTTTATACAAAATTTGTCACTAACTGACATACCTAAATTAGGGTGTTCAGCGTTAGACAACTGTCAAAAATTTTGGATTTGCTAGGCGCATAGACCGCAGTCTATCAAGTAACCTAACTCCCTTTCGGTTTCTTTTATCAATTGCCAAAATTATTCATACAACTCTGCGCTTACAAGTAAATAAAGCCACGAATGACAATTGAAATGAAAAACGAGATCGATCAGCTGATTACAGATGTGAGCTCAAACCGAAAACAACACAAAAGTTTGCCTTATTTGGAGGCTGAACAACGGTCAATGTTGAATAAAAAAAGATTAATAAATTTTGACCGCGCTCTATATGAGTAAGTAAGAGTAAGAGTGTGTGAAGGAGAGAGCGTATTTGAAGGAGAGTGCGAAAAAATGGAAGATGAAAAGAAAAATATTCAAAAAAAAAATAATTCCACTGCTGGATGCCGGCTGATAAAGTAAAGGTCGTTTTATCTCGATTATAGGTATGTCAGTAAGCCAGATTTAGATGTACTTCAATTAGACGTTTAAGTATTAAAGAATTTCAGTATATTATTTGCTGTATTTTTAGTCAAATTTTATAATAAATTTCAAAAATATAATAGCTCAATTACTTTTATAGTGAATCGCCTGTTGGGAAAGTAGCACACTTGTCAAAGATATTGTGGCATGTGTTGGGTAATGGTTGCTTACTTTTTTGAATACGGCCATCATGGCACAGACACACCTTTGCAATGTTTGCGTACCCAGGTGCGGACCGTTCAATGCGCCGTTAAAGTTGTCTTGCAGACATGTAATTTTCCTTGAGGACGGATCGATCCATTTTGTATTAAGGTCTGTTAAGACATTTGCGATTAAATTTTCGTAGATGTCGTCATTAATAGCCTTGCAAAGTGGACGCATTCAGCGCTAACACAGAGAATACAGTGAGTACAGTGTATTGTTCCGCTCTCTCAGTTACCCACTTTGCCGCTCTCTCGATCATCTACACTCTCGCCCTGACTAGTTAATCTTACACACATAACCATATTGGTTAAACTGATTAAAATACCCCGAAAAACTGAACACATGGGTTACTTTGAATTTTCACAAACAAATGACAAATAAATGTTAAATCAGCTATGAAAATAAGTCAGAATTACTTTCTTTTTAAATTACTGTAGTTGCTCTCATATCACACGCTTTCAGAGCTTTCACACACACAGATAGAACTTACATCGCTTTTCGGTTTTACAAAATATCTGAATCATTTAAAATGGTATTACAGTAATAATTAAGGGTAAAAAATATTATTTATCCTAACGATTAGTTAATGTTTCAAAACATAAAACATAATGACATGAACATGCCTAAATCTATATATAAAAAAATAAAAAATAAAAATGTTTTAGACTATGTAAACAGGTATTATTAGAAAATTGGTATACCACAACGTGTAAGCGCTGTTATGTCTTGCCATGTTGTGGTTACGTTTTCATTATGAGAAAATGGCCAAATAATTAGGCATTTTAATAGTGACAAAGTCAATGATGTCAAATTCAATTTAAACAAATATTAACGAATTAAACAAATAGTCATGTAAGTTGGTGTTGGAATTTCAAATTACTATAAAAATGTTATTAAAATGGAATTACAAAAATTTATTAATTACTAACAATGTAGGACTTTATAAAAGCAAAAAACAAAAAAAATAGATTTTTAAAATACTTACATACATATATAAAACATTCTCATATTTGTATCCAAAATATAAATTTATGATTGCATGTAAACTTCAAGCCAAGTCAAGGTAATTTTACATATTTCAAATGACTCTAATAAAAAAGTATATTACATATTCACATATTACATGCATGTTAGTAGTTAAATGAGCGTAAGATTATTTATAATTAAGAAAATGATTGATATTGAAAGTTGCCCAAATTTACCAAATAAACTGCAGTCAACAACATCCGGACTGCGGTTGAAAAAAATTTAATACGTTTCATTAAACGTTAAAAAAATACAAGAAAAAAATTATTAAAACATATAATTAACTAATATATAATTAATTAACTATGTAAGAATGATTTTAATAACAAATTCATAACCAAACCAAAAAAAAAAAAAACAAAAAAAGAAACCAAAAACAAAAACATGGTAACATATTGATGTTCAAATGTATAACGAGACAATTAGGTTGAAAACCAAATTCCAAAGGTTCAATCGATAATAAATAAATTAAATATCTATAAAATCGAAAGAATGAAATTTTAGATGGCCAAGTTCACAACGTAGAAAATTGTAGATCGCTGACTACATGCATACATATGTATGTATGTAAGTCAACTAGAAGTTTTCTGCACCTCGTGATGCTGAGTAGTAAGAATTCCTTAACAGTAAACGAATATGCTTTGAATCTTTGAAATACATTAGAGTGAAAAAAAAACATCTTTTTGAACTAAAAAAAAAGTAAACAAAACTAAAACCAAAAACTAAAAACCAAAAACTAAAAATACGCCTGTGTTTTATTTTTCGGTCACAATCATTCAATTTAAATGTTTGTAAGAAATATGCTAAGACTATGACAATATTCCTAATCCTTTATCCTGCACCATAAGTTTTTCATTATTATTATTTTTTTTTGCATGTATAATCTCACTTTTCCAGCTTTGTTTCGAAAAAGCTAAGTTTTTGTTTAGAAATATTTATTTCTTCTGTATGCTATCGTGTGGTTTTGTATTAAAATCATTGCTACCAATGTCACATCGGAAGCAGTGCCATTTGGGTGTACGGCGAGCGCAGATTAATGCATTTAGGCTAGAGCATTTTATATACCGCATATGTATGTAAATAGTATGTGTGTATATACATACATATATACATTCTGTCAAAAAATTACCAGAAATTATTCGTTTCTAAAGATCTCTTAAAATTCTTTTTTGGTGAGCATACACAAACCACTCTTCGACAGCACGAAAAGGAGCTGCCTATACGCCGCTGTATCTGAATTCGATATTTCTGAAAAACTTATACGTCTTTGTAAACTAACATTCAGCAGCACCAAAAACTCCGTCAAGATCGAGAAGTACCTCTCCGATACGTTCGATATTAAATAAGCTTTCAGACAGGGTGACTCTTTATTGTGTGACTTCTTTTATTTATTGATGAAGAAATTAATACGAGCTGCAGAGCTGAATAGGGAAGGTACAATCTTTTATAAAAGTGTAAATCTGTTAACGTCACCGATGAATATTGACATCACTTGACATTACCTCAACAAACGCGCCGTGAGTTCTATTCTTTCCACACTGGATAAGGAGGCGTAGAGTATGGATCGGGTAGTGAACGAGAGCAAAACCAAGTATCTCCTGTCATCAAACAAAAAGTCATCGCATTCCCAACTTGGTTTCCACATCGCTGTTGATAGTCATAACTCTGAAGTCGTAGATAATTTTGTTCTTGAAACCGGTGTTAACACCAACAACAATGTCAGTCTTGAGATTCCACGCTGAATTACTCTTGAATTGAATATAAAGTCTTCTCTCGACGTACAAAAACTAAACTATACAAGTCGTTTAACGTTTTCGTCCTGCGGTATGGTGCGGCGAAATAGACCATGACAACATCTGCCGGGGAGGCGATGANGTCAAAAAATTACCAGAAATTATTCGTTTATTAAGACCTCTTAAAATTATTTTTTGGTGAGCGTACACTAACCACTCTTCGACAGCACGAAAAGGAGCTGCCTCTACGCCACTGTATCTGAATTTGATATTTCCGAAAAACTTATACGTCTTTGTAAACTAACATTCAGCAGCACCAAAAACTCCGTCAAGATAGAAAGCTACCTCTCCGATATCGGGTAGTGAACGAGAGCAAGACCTATCATCAAACAAAAAGTCATCGCATTCCCAACTCGGTTCCCACATCGCTGTTGGTAGTCATAACTCTAAAGCCGTAGATAATTTTGTTCTTGAAACCGGTGTTAACACCAACAACAATGTCAGTCTTGAGATTCAACGCTGAATTACTCTTGAATTGAATATAAAGTCTTCTCTCGACATACAAAAACTAAACTATACAAGTCGTTTAACGTTTTCGTCCTGCGGTATGGTGCGGCGAAATAGACCATGACAACATCTGCCGGGGAGGCGATGAGCTGTTCGAGATATACGGCGACATTGACATAGCTCAACGAATCGAAATGCAGCTGCTACGCTGGCTAGGCCATGTGGTGCGAATGAATAGAATACTCAAATTACTGAAAGTTAATGGAACAGGAGGAAGACCTCTACTCCGTTGGATAGACCAGGTAGAGCAGAACCTGACTGTACCCTGAACTCGAGACCGATAGCAAAAATTACGGTTAAACTTGACTCTCACTCTAAACAGTAAAGGATGAGAATATACATTGATGTAGATAACCTAGCGGGCACTAAGGCCTTACCTTAATATGTACAACACGTAGTCGACTGTGGTTGGTTTATGAAAATAAACGGTAAACACACTACCCGAAGAAGGATTCATATTTACTGGGGCAAAGAGGTACCGAAGGCAAAGAGATAGCTGATGAACTTGCTAAGGATGGTGTGAACAAAGATCAGATAGTGGATCACCAGCACTTGGCTGACAAAGGCTGTGCTTATTTGGCGCAGAAAAGCTGCAGAATCTTCAATCAGATACAAAGATAACAGCAATGTTCTTCAAACTAAAGACACAATAAAGAGTGCCGCAGAAGTACAGATTGGTCGCATGTAATGTATCTGGTAACATAGTGGGCCTATTATCGTACAAATGATACTCTATCGGTCAACCTAACCTAAGGAATGTATCTCACAAACCGATTTAAAAGTAATGTTTGGGCACCAAATGCCTTGCCTAACAAATATAGGGAGCTAACCACCGAACGGCTGATGGCTTTTTATGAGAAGCTTTTATTTCATGTCAGAAAAACACTGGGAAGGGTTTATATTCCCTGCCGAGGAATGACCGCAATTATAAAATGTATTTAAATTTTTCATTTCAATTATTTTTCTATAATTTTTTTTTTTTGGATGTTGGTAGGACCAGTTGTCGAACCCTGACCTTCCAAATGGCAGTATGCAATGCCAACTACTAGGTTACCACGGCCGACAAAGAATATTATCTGATCTGATTAATCGGCGTTTTAGAAAAAGGTAAAAAAAAAATTATGCATCTAGCACCACGATAAGGCTCTCATATGGCTCCGGGTAAGGTCGAGGCAACCGATTTCTGAAAAATACGCTCAAGAAATGCTTTGAGGATTGGATAGCTCCTTTGCATAAAAATGTTTTATTGAGCGATTCCATGCATTTTTCTGGCAGAATATATTTTGTGTATACTTGTACATACATATGTACGTTATATTTTTACTTTTTTATTTCCCTTCAGAAGGATTTTTACTATCAACAATTAGTAAAATAATCGGAAGAAAGAGCTTGACAAACACAACTTGCGGCTCGTAGCTCTACCATGACTCGTCCGGTGACTGCCTACGGAGTTTACGTCATAAAGTAGCAAGTAATACGATCAGGATTGCCGCGCCATAGCAGAGAGAAAACAGGCTGCCTACCTCGCACACGAACGGGGTGGGATAAAAGAGGGGAATAGAAGAGGGAAGCAAGACGCATCTGCAGACAAAAATAGAAAGAGCTGACTGTCAAGGATAATACTCGAAAATTCAATGAGAAAATACAACGACTTACAGAGAGTATTATGCCCGGCGCAGACTCTTGCAGGACCCGGAGGGATGATGTAGTAATCGATGCTCAGAGTGTACTGAATTTATCGAGGGAACACTTCTAAAGCCTGCTGAATGGCAGTGAAAGTGTAATACAAAGAGATTTCGAACCAGATTCCCCAATCGATGACGATGGAAGAAATGTTTCATTGCCTGACTATAAAGAAGTTTGAATAGCAATTGCCTGCTTGAAAACCAACAAAACGAAAGGTGTTGATAGATCACCGATTGTAACCTAAGTTTGATCTGCCCAATCTACAAAACGGGGGATACCTCAATCTGCACCTTTTAACGTGGAATTAGCCTGCTCAATATCGAATACAAGGTCTTATCGAGCGTATTGTGTGAAAGACTAGAGCCTACCGTCATTAAGTTGATTAAAACTTATCAGAGTGGTTTTAGACCTTATAAGTCCACCATAGGCCAGATATTCACTCTGTCGGTTTCATAGCAGTCTTCGACAGCACGAAGAGGAACTGCTTCTACGCCGCTATGTCTGAATTAGGCCGACGCAAAGCTTATACGACTATGTAAGCTGACGTCAAGCAACACCAAAAGCTCCATCAGGATTAGGAAGAACCTCTCCGAGCCGTTCGACATCAAATGAGGTGTCAAACAATGTAATATGAGTTGCAAAGCTGAATAGAGAAAGAACAATCTTGTATAAAAGTGTACAGGTGCTGACGTGCGCCGATGATTTTGACCTTACTCTACCGCGCCGCTAGTTCTACTTTATTCAAGATGACAGAGAAGCGAGCGTATTCGTATGGTATTGGACGAGGGCAAATATCATGTGCCTTCATACAAACAATCATCACATTTACGACTCGGCACCCGCGTTATGTTGACTTTCCTAACTCTTACCAACATATACTACTTTGAACTGAGTAGGCAGTTGAAAAATAAAGTCCTCTCTCGACGAACAACTGCCGAACGGTCTTTCATCATTTCCGTTCTGCTATATGTTGCAGAAGCATAGATGATGACAACGTCTGAATAGTCAGCGCAAGGAGTTTTCAAGAAAATGTTTTGCATAAGGTTTATGATCACCTACGAATCGGGAATTTTTTGCAAATCTCAAGTAAAGCCCTATTGAATATAAGACGAGTCGACCATGAGATTTGAAATAAAATATTATTGTTGGCAATTTTCAGTTATTTTATCTGCATTGGACATGATAATGTCATAATCATGGAAAGAGGAAATTGTAGGTCATGAGAGGGGTGATGGTAGATAACGCACGGCATTAGAAGTGGTGAAATGCATTTGAACAGGAAAAAAGGCACAAAAAAATGGGTAAGTATAAAGAGTTTGAATAGCTCGCCGAAAATAAAGAAAATACGACGACTTATTCAATGTTCCCAGAAATCAGCTTTTTCAGGGATGTGTGCGAGCATATGAACGAAAATATGTTTGAGGATTGGTATTAATGTATACTCCATTCAATTCATTAAAAGGGAAAAAGGAGCTTCCCCTATATACTAGCATGCCCTGTGAAAAATAAACTTATCGAAATGATTTTGTTTCATTTCGGCGTCATGTTTTCGAAACGGAATGAAAATGCTAATGTTGAATCCGCATAAACTCATCGTTGGAGTTAATTTTAAAATAGCTGTTTGCTATGATGCTAACAGAACTTTTCAATCATAACGTTTAACTTTACCTGTTAACGATTTAACATTACCTGTTAACGATTTAACATGATCTG